AAACAAAAAAAAAAAAAATTTTAAATTTCAATTTTCAATTTCAATTTCAAATTCTTTATTTCAATAACCTAGCCTATATAGGCCATAATCGGTTATAAATTTCTACTTATGAATAGTTTACATAAAAATGATTTTTTTCATACTTAAAATTATGATTTAAATAAAAGTAATAAATTAAATTAAAAAAAAAAAATAAAAATTGATATACTACAATATTAAAATACCTCATAGCCAAAACGTAAATACATTCAATTCCACTTTTAGTTTTCAATGAAGTGAATTTCTATAGGCTTATAGTTTAGCGCAAAAAAAATTTCAACAAATTAACAAAAATATTTATTTTTTATTAATTTTATTAACATGAACCAAGGTTTGTATTTAACTATTTTGAGGGATAATTTAAAGCTATCAGCAGAAAAATGGAAATTTAATAAACATGTAAACTACACCAAGATTTTCAGGTTTTTGTGGACTTGCAAAGATACAGATGTCAATTTTTCTTAGAAATGTAAATTTTTTGAAGAATTTGTTATTAATGAATATAAATATAGATGGGGTTCTAACCGGTATTTACCCAATGTATGGGTAAATTGAGGACAAAGGTTTAAAACTGTTAAGCCTTAATTCAATTTTTTAAATCAAATTAAAATTTATTACTTCACCATTCGAATTAATTCATAAGCTGAAGCCTTAGGACTTCAAAAATGTTGAATTCAGTACTTGTATAATTCATTATTTAAAGGCTTAATTCCTTGCTGAATGATTTAACATTTTTCAAATTCAAATCTATTACAAAATAGCTTTAATCGTTTTTTCTTCACTCATTTTGTATGGGATTAAAGAAAAATATTCAAATAAAAATGTTTATATATTAGGGGGGTCTTTTATTTTTAGTAATTTTATTTAGTATTTTACAAATACAATTGTTTTTATTTTTATTTCAGCTAATTAAATTTGATTAATTAATTTTGATATATTATAGATGAAATTAAACTAAAATAAATATAGCCCCTATTTAATTTTACATAAATGACAAATCTTATTCGAAACATTTATAAAATTTTTTAAACGTTATTTTTGTGGGTCTTTTAATAATATTTTCGAAATATAATTTCCATTTGTAAAAAGTTTGAACAACCGTTATACATACACATACGTACACGTATAAACGGAATTAAAATATTAAAAATTTCAAATTATTTTTCAAATTAAAAAATATTTTTCAAAAATAATTTCTATCATAAGTGAATTAGAATTTTTATCTTATGACTCCGTCGTTGATAACAATTATGTGGTTCCTAAGCAAAAGCGAACAAGAAAGGTTTATAAGAATCCAAATATAGAAAATAATATATTATTTAAGAACTATTTTCAAATTAAACATTTATTTGAACAATCCTAATACACACATGCTTTAATATATAGGATATGGATGGAATGATAATGAATGAATGAATGAAGCGGATGTATCCTTATGCTGCAGTAAATACAATAATTACTGACGAATACAAATTGTGATTAATCAGAGTCCATTTACGTTAAAAAGTACACTATTCAGAAGGAAATGCTAGCACCACAAAAGGCGTTCCGTGGCTGATTCTTTTGTGTTAGGGACCGATTCTGTTCTAAGCAAACTTCAACGGACTTGTATGTTTTACGATCACATAATATGTATGTATGTTTCTTAGTATATTGTACATAAATATTATGTATTTTTATTTGCAGCAATAGTGTTATAACTTAAAAATAGAAAAAATTTTCTTGTGCACTGAATTTGTGTTTATTATTAGTCTGAATTATCTTTCTTATTGTACAAACTTACAAATATCAGCTGTAAAATAAGTTATTTAAAACTCTTTTATATAGAGATAAAAACTTAAAATTTGAAAAATCTTTTAAGTTGAAATTTTAGTTTTTGAGATACAGCACTCTGGCTGCAAACGAAAGGGTTTTCATTCAATCTACTACAAATTGAATTTAAGAAAAATTTCGCAATTCAATTTGGAGTAGATTTGAATTAAAGAAAAGTTGAATCATTCAAAGCAGAATGTAATTCAAACATGAATGAATTCAGTATATGAATTAATTAAAATAAACTCAAAGCCTTTGAATTAAGCTATTGAATTAATTCCTGAGAATTAAAAAAGGGATTGGAAAATCAAACTTTCTATTTCTGAATTAAGATTTTGGTGAATTAAGCTCAAATTGATTAATTCGAAGCTCTGATTGAGGGTAAATACCAGGTATATTCCTTTTTTTCTATCTTTTTGGGGTATTTATAAAAAGTTTTTTTATATTAAATTTTTTCATAAACAGGTTGACAATCGCTTCATAAATGTTTTCAAATATTTTTTTACATTTCATTTGTTTTGATAATAATAAAAATTAACAAAATACAATTAAAAAAGCAAAATAATTTCAAAAAAATTCGTTCAAATGCGGTACGTTGAATACAAATTGTAGAGAATGAATATATCAGTAATGCCTGCAGTTACATATGTATGTAGTGCAACCATAAATGTTAATCTTTTTAGGTTCAAAAATGGGAAGTTCTACACGAGAAAAATACCAGAAATACCACCTACCAATTGGTGGAAAAGCTTAAAAGGGTTTTATAGCACGTAATTGGAATCTCTTAAAAAATGTCTACAAAAGAAAACATACATATCTATAACTTTTATCACATTTACAGATGCAGCATCCACTTTATATAATTTAATAATAAATTAATTTTTACTTTTTACAATCCGCGTGTTTAAAAAATTTTGTACAACTTAGTTTATACCCAGCTTTTTTGTAAACACCTGGATATTTACCCACCTAGGTATTTACCCATTTTTACATTTTCATTCATTTTTAAGAATAATGGAAACAAGTCGGTTTTAGTGACATTTCTCAAAAAAAAAACCCAATATAGAGCGTTTTGAGACGATAAAAGATATAATTTTTTTTTGTCGGCCACGCATACTTTCGAGTTGATGTGGCTCCAAAGTTTAATACATTTTTGTGTATATCTCGAAAACTGTTTTGTTTACAATAAAAATTTATACATCAAATTAAAGGTATTAAAAATACCGATTAAAGACGTGCACAGTTACAACTGTTTGCACAAGTTTTGTAGTGTCTACTACTGTGAGTGCGTATTGATGAGTAGTTGAGTAGTTCTGGTACAAGTTGATATTGTTATTTTCTCAAACATAGGTTGTGTGAGTGAGTACAAAGAGAATAAGAGTAACATACTTGTTTTGCTATACTTTTGTCAAACAAATAAAATAGATAATGATGGTTGTACAACAAATAACTTATTGTATGCTGCAAGCGTATAAAAACACAGTTGTTTAGAAACATTTTTTTATTATTTCATAATGTATATTCGGTATCTCGTGATCTATAGGAGATATCGTAGCAAAATTTAACATAGTTAGAGCTGTGGTGTTTGCGCATCTACTTACAATCTGTAGACTCCGTAGGTCCAATGGAGTCCAGTGGTAAGGCCCTTAAAATTGGTCACCTCGACTCAATTTTTTTAAAATCAAAAAAAATGCATTTATGATCCGAATTAAAAAAAAAAAAAAAAAAAAAACATTTTAATGAAAAAATGCAAAACAAAACTTTTGAAAGGGTCCTAGTTTCCTAATTGAAAATCCTGATCTCAGTACAATTTGCCAAAAAATAAGTTTTTAAATGTTGTCGAAATTCATCTCAAATATTCCCTAAATTGTAAAATTTTTAAGAATATTTTTGGTCCACAAAAAGACTTTTATTTAGCGCATTACAAAGGACACAAAGATTTTGAATTTTTTCGAAATATGTAAAAATTATCGTAATTTTAAGAAAAGTTTACAAAAATATTTAGCTTTTTACTTAATGACTTTTTTAATTTATGTAGGAATTCTGAAGCACTAAAAGTAATTCTGTGGAATAAAAGTACTTCAAACAATTTTATGATTTTTTTTCTAAAAAATGTAGGAAACTTTTTTTATAATTTGTACTAAGATCATTATTTTCAATAGGTGGGAAAATAATTTTTTATTTTTTTTCGAGTTCACTACGACAATACATCATTTGAGACTTGTGCCTACTTTAAATCACAAAAAGCTGTTTCTAGTTACACTTTTCTTTAGATCAGATATTAGGCTTAGACTTTTTTTGAGAGACATTTTTCAAAATTAAAAAAAAAAAAATGTTCTTTTAAATGTTGTATTTTAATTTTTTTATCAAATAAAAGATGATAAGGAATATCTATATACTCTGGAGACCACCTAAGAATATTTATGTAAAATTTAATTTCAATATCCTCAATATTTCACTAGAATTATTTTCAGAAAATGTTGAATTACTATCAGAAAATATCACAGAAAAAACAGATTTAAAAAAAAATCATTTAAACGATTAATCGAAAATTTTAAAATGGTTCAATTCATTTTGTGTTTGAATCATAAACGTATTTAACAACAACAAAATTAGAAACAAATAAAAATTTTGTGTGAAATCAATCAAAAATGAAACTTCAATAAATAAAATAATTGAAAACGAGGTTTTGGTAATTGAAATCGTTTTTCAGTTTAAATAAATATTAAATAAAAAAACTGAAAACTGAACTAGAACTAGAACTAACTAAAACTGAACAAGAACTGAACTAGAATATTAAATAAAAATATAAATAAATAAAAAATTAAAAATAAATATAAAAATATTCACTAATTTATTATTCATTTATTACATATTTTTCTTTTGTTTTGAAATAATCTTATTTAATATAAATAAACATACTGCATCAATATAGATTTTTTGTATTACTATAAGTAACAACAAATAGTCAAAAATATTTGTAGTACAACAGTTATTTGAGAGCAAGAAACAAATACAATACAGTATTCAACTCAAAACCATAAGCAACTGGTATTGTTTTTGTGGATAGAGTGGATGAGCACAAGCAAAAGCATACAATATCAGTTACACTCATTCTCTCATTTATACTTATAGTATTAGGTACTCACCATGGTGTATTTGTTTTACAAATACTTTGTGGTGTACTACTGCACGTCTTTAATACCGATTTTGGGTTTTTTCCGGAAAATATATATTTTGACCCGACTTTTTTTTCATCTAAAAGAAATCGGAAAAAATGTCTATATAATTCTATTATAAATTTCTATATGTTAATAGCCAATGAATTAAGCTTTTATTTAAGGTATAAACCATTTCTGTATCTAATCAAATGAAAGAGATATTTGATTTTAAAAACCATTTATTTTATAATTTAATTTACATATCAACAGAGTTGTCAGATTCCAATGATGAAGAAAATAGTTCCTCGTGAGAAGCCAACATTTGTATGTTTGTGTCATGCGGACCTTCCGAAAGAGGATTATATAACCTCTATGGTATGTCCAACACCGGCTTCGCTTAATAAAGATTTCCTGAATAGACGGCCTACGGCCGGGCGCAAAAATTTTCTCCTGTATGGTATGTCCAAGACCGGCTTCGCTAAATAAAGATTTCCTGAATAGCCGGCCTACGGCCGGGTGCAATGATATTCTCCTCTATGGTATGGCCAACACCGGATTCGCTTAATAAAGAAATTCCTAAATTCTCCTCTATGGTATGTCCAACACCGGCTTCGCTTAATAAAAATTAGTATACATACGTTTTTTTTAATAGCAAAATCATAATTATTAAATTATTAATATCTCAGGAACTATAATACTTACAAAAACATATTATTCCTTAATAAAAAACTCAATATCTTGGCTTTTAAACAATCTAATTTATATACTTACCTATAAAGGCATTTTTTTCCTGATTTTTTAGATAAACCTCAAAAATATCGGGTCAAAGATTATGTTTCCCAAAATTGACCTATAATAGGTCCTTTTTTGTATATCATGTTACATATCATTGGAAAGGTCTTTGAAATACCTTTAATTCCAAACACATTTATATTTTTCGAGATATAGCCATAAATATTTTGAACTTTAGAGGCCCGCCCACCCTAAAGTAGGCGTGGCCGACAAAACATTTTTACGTCATTTCACTCACAAACGAACTCTCTATTAGTGGTGAAATTTTCGACGTGATTTGAAAAATGTGACTAAAACCGACTTAAATAATGTATTTTGATAATTTTCTTACTATCAATATATCGCAATAAAAATTCGGAATATTAATGACAATATGTATAGTTTTCTATGACACCTGTGGTATATAGACACCTGGTTATTTACCCACCTACGTATTTACCCATTTTTACATTTTCATTCATTTTTAAGAATAATGTATTTTGAACTTTTTTTCATTTAATTATAAAAAAATATATACATACATAATTTTCTTACTATCAATATATCGCAATAAAAATTCGGAATATTAATAACAGTATGTATAGTTTTCTATGACACTGTATTCTGTTAAAATCGAGTATTTTTAAAAATTTCATCGAAGAATCTTACATATAATGCTCCACTATTCGCAATTTAATTATTTACCTTGTAGATCTTAACAGGTTCTTTTAGATAACTACGAATTTAAACATAATTGCATTAAAATGTAAAAATTAAATCGGCCTATGAAAATTAGAAGTGCAATGTTGCAATTCTTCTGAATGAAAACAAAGTTTTAATAATATATGTATCAATGTTTGTAAAGCAACAATGCTAAGTTATTACAGAAAGATCATACCTTCTTGGATATCCGATGAAGCGGAAATCCTGATTGTGTTGGAACATTCAAATATCCGGACAAAATAGGTACTTCCACATCCATTATAAAAAGTAACTACAAATATTATTCTGTTTTTGTTAAAAAATTTTATATATTTTATTACACATCTTGCAGACAATAACAAAAATGTTTACTGCAGGGTTGATAAATTAAGTATTATGTACATTTCAACCCAGGGATGTAAATTATTTTATGATTCATAATATTTAAATATAAAACGGTAACCAAAACGAAATTGCTTTAGGTGGAGGAAAGGTATATTAATTATATTATATATTATATAATTAATATATCTTGAAGCAGTTTTGTTAATACATTTGGTACCCTATATAAGGGTTCTATAGTTAAAATAAAAAGTCGACTTTTTGTATTTTGAAAAGTCGATTCTCGACTTTTTACGACTAGGAAAAGTCAACTTTTTGATACCCGTTAATAAAACAACCTTTTGATAAAACAGCAAACCCTAACATCTGTTTTTGATTGTTGTGTGGTGAGTTTCTGTAAAAACGTAAACAAATGAAACAAAAACAAATTACTAGACATATTTATTTTGTGCTAAGAAAAATTTATGTATTTTAATAATGTTTTATAGCCAGTGCAAGTGTTCTTGGTGTACACCATCTACCCCAATAATAATCCCGGTTTCTTTAGAATCAAATATTTTTAAAACGGCCTTATATAATGTGCAATTCTATATTCCATGACTGGTTGATAGAGTCACGGAATCCATCGGAGATCAACCTAAAAAATGAAAAAGGGGTGGCTTTAACTTCTTGTTCCGTTCATATGGGGCAAGATTCGAGCCTCATCGTATCAGTTCGCCAGATACTTCATTTGTGTATATTGCAGGGTCCTGGTACCCAACACAGCCTTATTGTAAACGGTCTCATAATAACACTTAGATCTTTTCTTCATTCTACGACTATGCAAGAATACAGCTATGACATATTAATGCTTTAAGTACTGCATGACTATCAACCTAAAATCTTACAAGAGACCGGCGAACAATGTGATTCCCTATTAGTTCCGTCACTTTCAAGATCGCTAAATCACCACTTGTCAGACACAACCCATCAGGGAGTCAAGGAACGTTTTACACCGTTTGTAACACATCGAAATATTGGTCTAATGTCCATAAAAGTATATGCTGTGCCAATATGTGCCAAAATAATTTTAGTTGATGGAGTTTGTTATTGAAAATGGACAATATCGGTATACGATAAACTCATCAGGGAGCCAAGGAACTTTTACACCGAAATATTGGTCTAAAATCCATAAAAGTATAGAAATATTTTTGGTTGATGGAGTTTATTATTGTGCTTCTATATTCCAGTATAGCGAAGAAAAACAACAAAAACAAGTTTTATAGGAACTAAAATCTTTTTGCCAAATTTTACGAGGATAACTTCATATTTGACACTGCTCTCATATAAGGTTCATTTAAGGAAATTATTTTACAAGATTTATATGATCCCAAAACCTTGGTTCGTTCAAAATTGACCCTACCCCCATATAAGTTCCCCTTCAGAAAATGATATTAACTCCAATAATTGTAATAAAAATACCAATATAGCAAAGAAATTCCACATAACCAAGGAGTCAAAATCGTTTTGTCAAATTTAAGGGGATCAGTCCATAATTTAACCTATCCCCGATATAAGGTCCACCTCGGGAAATTACTACCGCTCTTAACTGGCTTAAAAAATGTATAGCTATAAAATTCAACATAACAACTTTTATATGAAACAAAATTTATCTGTTGAATTTTGTAAGGGTCGGTCCACAGTTGACCCTACCTAAAATCTCAAAGAGATTATGCCATACGATTTCTACACTTCCAACTTAAAGTTCTATATATGTTTTTATCGTGCACAAGATCGTAAGGGTCGGTCCACAGTTGACCCTACCTAAAATCTAAAACAGATTATGCCATCCGATTTCTACACTTAAAACTTAAAGTTCTATATATGTTTTTATCGTGCACAATATCGTCCGATAACAGTTATATATCATTTTCTATATACTGCCATAGTAACATTTTTTGTGAAAAAAAGTTTGTTGTTGTAGTACACCCCCTAGAACGATGAAATCCTGAAAAAAATGTATGCCATCCGATTTCTACACTTCCAACTTAAAGTTCTATATAGGTTTTAATCGTGCACAAGATCGTCCGATAGCAGTTATATATAATTTTCTATATACGGCTATAGTCACATTTTTTGTAAAAAAAAGTTTGTTTGTTGTAGTACACATCCTAGAACGATGATATCCGGAAAAATATGTATGCCATCCGATTGCTACACTTCCAACTTAAAGTTCTATATAGGTTTTTATCGTGCACAAGATCGTCCGATAGCAGTTATATATCATATTATATATACGGCTATAGTCACATTTTTTTGTAAAAAAAGGTTTGTTTGTTGTAGTACGCACCCTAGAACGATGAAATCCACAAAACAAATTATGCCATCCGATTTCTACACTTCCAGCTTAAAGTTCTATATAGATTTTTATCGTGCATAAGATCGTCCGATAACAGTTATATATCATTTTATATATACGGCCATGGTAACATTTTTTGTAAAAAAAAAAGTTTGTTGTTGTAGTACACACCCTAGAACGATGAAATCCGGAAAAAAATGTATGTCATCCGATTTCTACACTTCCAACTTAAAGTTCTATATAGGTTTTTATCGTGCACAAGATCGTCCGATAGCAGTTACATATCATTTTATATATACGGCCATAATAACATTTTTTGTAAAAAAAAAGTTTGTTGTTGTAGTACACACCCTAGAACGATGAAATCCGGAAAAAAATGTATGTCATCCGATTTCTACACTTCCAACTTAAAGTTCTATATAGGTTTTTATCGTGCACAAGATCGTCCGATAGCAGTTATATATCAATATATATATACTTTCATAATAACATTTTTTGTAAAAAAAAGTTTGTTGTTGTAGTACACACCCTAGAACGATGAAATCCGGAAAAAATGTATGCCATCCGATTTCTACACTTCCAACTTAAAGTTCTATATAGGTCTTTATCGTGCACAAGATCGTCCGATAGCAGTTATATATCAATTTATATATACTTCCATAATAACATTTTTTGTAAAAAAAAAGTTTGTTGTTGTAGTACACACCCTAGAACGATGAAATCCGGAAAAAGATGTATGCCATCCGATTTCTACACTTCCAACTTAAAGTTCTATATAGGTTTTTATCATGCACAAGATCGTCCGATAGCACTTATATATCAATTTATATATACGGCCATAATAAAATTTTTTGTAAAAAAAAAGTTTGTTGTAGTACACACCCTAGAACGATGAAATCCGAAAAAAAATGTATGCCATCCGATTTCTACACTTCCAACTTAAAGTTCTATATAGGTTTTTATCGTGCACAAGATCGTCCGATAGCACTTATATATAATTTTATATATACGGCTATAGTAACATTTTTTGTAAAAAAAAAGTTTGTTGTTGTAGTACACACCCTAGAACGATGAAATCCGGAAAAAAATGTATGCCATCCGATTTCTACACTTCCAACATAAAGTTCTATATAGGTTTTTATCGTGCACAAGATCGTCCGATAGCAGTTATATATCATTTTATATATACGGCTATAGTAACATTTTTTGTAAAAAAAAAGTTTGTTGTTGTAGTACACACCCTAGAACGATGAAATCCGGAAAAAAATGTATGCCATCCGATTTCTATACTTCCAACTTAAAGTTCTATATAGGTTTTTATCGTGCACAAGATCGTCCGATAGCACTTATATATCAATTTATATATACGGCTATAATAACATTTTTTGTAAAAAAAAAGTTTGTTGTTGTAGTACACACCCTAGAACAGACGTCGGCGCTAGTATTGTTCTGACAACGAAGATTTTCGGCAAATTACATGTACACAACACGATCGCATACGAACCTCTAAACAAGAGCATCAAAAATACAAATATTTTATTTAGTTGCTTGGCAGCATTCAACAAAGCAGGTTGATGTCGCTTTGTTAAAGAAATTGCAAACACAACTTGAAAAAACAAAAACAACTTGCAAAAGCAAGAGCATAATTTACAAAAACAACGTACACCCTAAATAATTTTCTAGAATGCATAACAATGAAAGTAAATAAGTTTATCTTGTTTCATACTTTTTTTGTACATTTTAATTAGAAATGTTGTTTCTATGTGAAGAAATTATCATTCTTAAGTACATTGATTACATTTTGTTTATAAATATTCGCATTTTACAGTAATGCAATTTAATCTTCAAAATTAAAAATAACCAAATATTTTTTTCAGTGCAATTTCATTGAAAAAATGCCAATAGTGTGTGTGTAGTGGTGATTTTTTTATCTGCCTCTCTATCCGCCGGTATATGCCCTAGAACGATGAAATCCGGAAAAAAATGTATGCCATCCGATTTCTACACTTCCAACTTAAAGTTCTATATAGGTCTTTATCGTGCACAAGATCGTCCGATAGCAGTTATATATCAATTTATATATACTTCCATAATAACATTTTTTGTAAAAAAAAAGTTTGTTGTTGTAGTACACACCCTTGAACGATGAAATCCGGAAAAAAATGTATGCCATCCGATTTCTACACTTCCAACTTAAAGTTCTATATAGGTTTTTATCGTGCACAAGATCGTCCGATAGCAGTTATATATCAATATATATATACTTTCATAATAACATTTTTTGTAAAAAATAGTTTGTTGTTGTAGTACACACCCTAGAACGATGAAATCCGGAAAAAAATGTATGCCATCCGATTTCTACACTTCCAACTTAAAGTTCTATATAGGTTTTTATCGTGCACAAGATCGTCCGATAGCAGTTACATATCATTTTATATATACGGCCATAATAACATTTTTTGTAAAAAAAAAGTTTGTTGTTGTAGTACACACCCTAGAACGATGAAATCCGGAAAAAAATGTATGCCATCCGATTTCTACACTTCCAACTTAAAGTTCTATATAGGTTTTTATCGTGCACAAGATCGTCCGATAGCACTTATATATCATTTTATATATACGGCTAT